CACATGGCACTTCCTGATACCCCACTGCCCCCCAAGTTTTGGTGCCCCCCATAAGGGATGTCTGGTTCCTGACCAAAGGTGGGTGACCAGGAAGGTCACAGGCTTGGACGTCAGGTCACAAGAGGCATGGTGGGGGACTTGGGGATAAGGCACGAGCCATATCTTGGGAGAGAGAGGGGAGGGTTGCTGGCAGCCGGGGTGGGGCGGGGGGCACACCCTCCCCAAGGCTGGCAAGGCTTGCTCTGCCACCACACCAGCCTCCCAAGCTGCTGCGTTGCCTGTGACCTCAGTGGCCACCTGGGCCTTGACCCTCCCCTGGGCTCTGAGGCCACCCAACCCTAGGCCAGCACCCACAAGGCTCGCTGGGCAGACGGCCGTGCAGTCAGGGACCGGAGCCTTCCTAGCATCCAGTGGGCACTTGGCAAGTGTCTGCTGAGAGAAGGAGAGAGGAGGGGGCCTCCTCACTGTCCTTACTATCCTGACCCCGTTTTGTCACGGAACCTGCCTCTGGAAGCCCGCAGGAACTAATTAGTGCTTCTTCTGGATTACCTACATACTGCCCCCCTCCCTCCCTTCCTTGTCCCGGCCTCTGTCCTCTGGGGCGCGGAGGCAGGGTCTGGCTCCCACCTCACTGGAGGCAGAGACAGGATGGCTGCGTGGTGGAGAAACAGACAGTGCTCTGCGGGGTGCAGACAGACCCTTTGGGAGCCGCCCCTGCCGGAGACCCTTCAAAGCCAGGCTTGGAGGATGCCCCCCGGTGGCACAGGTCCTGGTCACGTGAACAGATTGTTTGAATAATTCACATTTAAAAAGACCTACTTTCCCATCAGACCATTTCCTGCTAAAGAGCAGATGTGGCAGGGGCATCTGAATTATGCATTATGCTCCCCAGGTTTTTAGTGATGGCCGGGCGCTGAGCCAGGCACAGGGCAGCCGCCTTTGCCCTGGGGCCCCGTTCAGCCCTGCAGTCACTTGGCTGGCCTGGCCCTGGGCTGGCTCTGGCAAACCACGTGCGGCTATGGACTCAGGACCACAGGCTGATCTCTAAGCCACTTATCTAGAGAAGGAGGGAGTGTCACCGGGAAATCAGGAGAAGCCTGGGTTCCTGGCCCGCTGGGTGTGAGCTCTCCATGGTGCGGGGGTTGGGGAGGCGGCCAGCAGGTTCACCAATGGCCGTGATTTGTGCCCCACCAAGGTGGGGCCTGGACAGTAGTGGGAGCCACAAACTGCAGGAGGCCTGGGCAGAGGGTGGAGGGTGGGGCAGGGAGGGTAGGGGCCCCAGGGCGGCCTTCAGACCCTTGAGGTCCAAAGGGCCCCGGCTGGAAGCTGGAAGCTCTGTAGGTTCCTGAGAGCTGATCAAGCTCAGGGCATGTGTCCCCAGGGCCAGAAGGCCCTGCTGCCCGGGGACTGGCCTGGGGTGGGGAGGCGACCCCTGAGACCCTGTGGCCTGTGCACATTGGAGGGGGATGAGGCCCCAGGATCCCCTGCTCCTTCCCTCCTGCGGCCTTCCCCTCAACTTTGCCCCTCACATCCGGTCCATAAACACGCAAAGGAGGGCTTCAGGCCTGGCCGCAGGGCAGGTTCCAGGGAAGGCCCTGCTGCACCCTGCAGACCCACAGATTAGCCAGGGTGCCAGGGCTGCACCCTAAAACCTCAGATGGCTGAGGCAGGCATTGGCTTGGTGGTGTCCTCGTGTGTGGCCTTGCCCTGCGGCCCTGGTGCAAGTGGGGACAGGCCCCACCAGGTCGATGGTGGCCTGTGGGACAGGGGAGCCCTGGGCCAGCCCTGGCAGCACCCCTGCTCCCGAGTCAGGCCTGCAGCCTGGTGCCCTCTGCGAACCTCAGGCAGGAATGCAGGGACCCTGGATGGCAGGGTGGGGGTTCTGAGGGTCCCCAGGCCTCCTGCCGTCCCCACAACAGCATGGAAGTTACCGCAGAGACCACTCACCCCTCTGCCCACTTCCTTCTGCTCTGCCGCGGCTCTGCCTCCCCTCCCCCACCTTTCACATCCTCCCCGTCCCCCTCTTCCTTCCCTCCTCATTTCCACTTTTCTGTCCTGGACTTAGGCAGGCACTGAGGGTTGGCATCAGACCTGTTGGATTGGGAGGAATGTCTCTGATCCTGAGCCTGGGGCCTTCGGTCCATTATTTCTGGGACCCACCTGCCAATGCTCAGGACATCCATCCTTCTGACTTTGTATCACCCACCTCCTCCTTGCCAGCAGTAGGTGGAGGCCGCAGGGCGTGAGCTGGATCCCTCCCCGCCCACGTGCCTGGTACATGTATTCCTCACCTGGCGCAAGCGCTCTGCAATGCTTACCGCACCTGGTACCCGCACAGGAACCCTGCATCCTGCTGCAGAGTGTCCCCCCTCCCCTGGGCCACTAGCCCTTGTCCTGGACACAGTAACCATTCTGTTCCAACCCTCCTTGCTTCCCTGGCCTCTGGTCCTCATGCTGAGTCGTGCCCCCTCACTTGGAACACGGAGGGTGGCCCACACCCCTTCTGCCTGCCCCATAAATGTTCCCTGAGGACCCACAGTGGGCCCCATGCTCTTCTCAGCGGGTGGAGCAGCGGGCTAGGGAGTCAGCAACGCAGCCCACAAAGGAACCCCATGCAGTTCAGGAAGGGGAACTCTGAAGAGAAATGAGGCTCCGGAGGACGGCGGGTGGGGGCCAGGGGGGACTCTGTGGTGACTGGAGATGACCCTCCTTGGGCAGACAGAGCCACAAGGGCAGAAGGCTAGAGCATGGAATGTGGTGGCCTGTGTGTTAGCAGAGCACAGAGGACCCAGATTGTTGGACAGAGAGGAGGCCAGAGGGAGGCTGGGACTCTTGATGGTTTTTGTTTTTGTTTGAGGAAGGTTAGCCCTGAGCTAACATCTGCTGCCAATCCTCCTCTTTTTTGCTGAGGAAGACTGGCCTTGAGCTAACATCTGTGCCCATCTTCCTCTACTTTATATATGGGACACTGGTACGTAGGTCTGCACCCGGGATCAGAAACAGCGAACCCCAGGCCGCTGAAGCAGAACGTGCGAACCTAACTGCTGTGCCACCGGGCTGGCCCCTGTCGATGGTTTTAAACAGAGGAATGACATGGTTGACATTGAGTCTTTGCTCAGCTGAGCAAGGTAGACATCCCTGCAGGCGTGGGGACTGCGGCAGCCCAGACACAGTCAGAGCCCATGCCCGGTGAGGAGGTGGGGTGGTGGTGATGATGGAGATTGGTTACACGGGGCACTAGTTTGTGTGTGTGTACATATTCATGTATGCTTGCACGTACATATGTTCTCTAGCTCTGTCCACTGACATGGACTACAAGCAATGACACCCCAGTAGCAGTGAACACATTCAGAGCTTGTATCCTGGCTTCTAAATATCATTCCCCACTAAAAGGAACCAGGGCTCCTTGGAGAAATGGCTGAGTTCAGGGCTGGGGCAGGGAGGGTCTAAGATGAGCCTGGAGCATGCTGTGCCAGGAATTGAGAGAGGGCTCCAAGAATGATGGCAACATGTTTGTGGGCTGGTAGGAAGGCCCCGTGGAGTTGGGGGGAGGCAGGGAGCACAGCCCTCGAGTGGGTGTGAAGGTATGGGCCCAGGGCTGGAGTGAAGGGCTGCCCTAAACACACACAGACACACACGCAGAAGAGACACACCAGCTGACGCTGGGAAACAGGCAGGGGTGGGGAGAGGCGATTGGGCCCCTTGAGGTTGTGGCCCTCGTCGAGGGGACAGCTGCATCGTTGGGTGTGTTCTCCAGCCTCCTTTACCCAAGCCGTGTAGGCCTGGAGGAGAAGCGGCCTTGGATTTAGTCTGGAAAGGGCAGCACAGGGAGGACGGGCCAGGAGGCCGAGGGGGTTGGAAGGGTGACTAGGGTGGGGGACTGCAGGCTCTCAGTGAAGAAGTCAGTGGGGGGCAAAGCTGTTGGAAGTGGGGAGCCAGAAGTCAGCTGGAAGATGGAGGTGGTGGGCTGAGGGCTGTTCCACGGGCATCCTGGAGGTTTCTGAGGACAAAGAAACTACAGGCTGGGGACATCTGACCTATCTCCACCCTCTTCCCCTTCCTCACCTGGGGGGGCTTCAATCCTCAGCTGCCCAGCCGACTTCTCAGGGGCATTTGCAGGGGTCGACCATCTCTCCCTTCTGACACTCTTTCCTGTGGTCACTCCTCTCTGTCCAGGAAACCATTCCCCACTGGAGGGGCCTGGGCCTCATCACCCGAGGCCACACTGCCTGCACCTGCCCGAGAGCTCACTCGAGCCTCACGGGTACCTCCGGGGACCGGCCCTTTGCACCTTGTAGTGGGTCGTCCACTCCACGACCTGGTCCAGCACGGGCCCGGCCGTGCTGCCGCCTTACGCGGAGGAATCAGTCAATTCCGTTGCACCTGCAGGCCTGAGGGTTGGCCTGGGCTGGGTGGTACCGCGCACTTGTGCATGTGCAGGGCGCAGGGTTCGTGTGTGAGTAAGGGGCGCAGTATGCCGTGCAGAGCGTTTGTGCGGGGTGCGGGGCACGAGTGCAGGGTGTGCGGTGCCGAATTCGGGGTGCAGATGTGCGGTGCGGGATGCCGGGTACAGCATGCCGCCCAGGATGCACGGTTCCTGCGCGGGTACCGGGTGCGGTTTGCGTTGCGGAGCGCTTGCGCCAGGTGCGGGATGCGTGCACAGGCCCGTGTGCAGGGTGAGGGTTAGGGGTTCGGGGTGCAAGGTGTGGGTGAGGGGCGGGGAGGGATCCGGCTCCCGCCCTGCGGCCTCCATCCACGTCCACTAGGCTGGGAACCGAGCGGGTCGGCAGCGGGCAGGCCCCTGGGGCGCAGAGCCGGGCGCGGGCGAGGGGCGGGCGTGGCCTGGGGGCTCCTGCAGCGGGTCCCCGAGGGCGCGGCACGGCCCCTTTAAGCTGCTCGCGCGCGCGCGCGCGGCCCGGAGCCGGAGCCGGGGTGGGGGGAGCGCGCGCGCGGCGTGCGGGCGCCGGGCCGTGCGCGCGCGCGGCGTGCGCGGTGACGCGGCCGTGGGGTTTCCCGAGGCTGCGGGCAGGGGCCGCCGCGCCCATCCCGATGGCTGGAGGCGTCTGAGGGGCGGACGGAGGCGGCGGCGGCGGCGGCGGCGGAGCGGGCGCGGGCGCGGGAGTGGAGCGGTCGCCGCGGGACCGGACCGAGCCTCGCCGGCGCACCTGCCCGCAGCGCCCGCGGAGCGGCCCGAGCGCGACCACCTCCCGAGCGGCGGCCGAGGCGGCGGAGGCGGCGGCGCGGGCGTCAGGGGGACGAGGCGCCGAGGTGAGCGCGGCGGCCCGGCCCGGCCCTGCCCCAGCCGCGACCCCGGCCCGCCCGCCGCCCCGGGGCGCCCGCCGCCCCTCCCCCGCCGCCGCCGCGTCTTCCTGCCCCGCCAGGGTGGGGTCGGCGGCGCGGGGGCGGGCGACCCTGCGGGCGGCGGCGGGGCCGGGCCGGGGCCGAGGTCTGGGGCAGGGCCGGGGCTCCGATCGGGGGTCTTGGGTCCAGGTCTGCGGGCCGGGGCCAGGGTCCAGGGCCGGGGCTCTCATTGGGGGTTCTGGGTCCACGTCTGCGGTCCGGGGTCGGGGTCCAGGGCCGCGTTCTGATCGGGGGTCCTAGGTCCAGGTCTACGGGCCGGGGTCCAGGGCCGGAGCTCTGATCCGGGGTTGTGGGTCCAGGTCTCCGGTCCGGGGCTGGGGTCCAGGGCTGGGGCTCTGATCGGGGGTCCTGGGTCCAGCTCTGCGGGCCGGGGCCGGGGTCCGGGGCCGGGTTCTGATCGGGGATCCTGGGTCCAGCTCTGCGGGCCGGGGCCGGGGTCCTGGTCTGTGGTCCGGTGGCTATGCGCCGGGCGGGGGCCGGGGTTCTGGGTCCAGGGCTGCGGTCCACGGCCAGGTTCTGATCGGGGGTCCTGGGTCCAGATCTGCGGGCCGGGGCCGGGGCCAGGGTCCAGATCTGGGGTCCGGGGTCCAGGGTCCCGGGCGGGGGTTCTTGGTCCAGCTCTGCGGTCTGGGGCCGGGGTCCGGGGTCCAGGTCCGGGCGCCGGCAGGCCGGCCGCGGGGAGGCGCGCGGGGCCGGGGTCTCCAGGCCGGCCGGGCCGGGCCGCGAGAACAAAGGGAGCGGGTTCTGCAGGGGCGGTGGGCGCCGTCCTCCGCTCGGGAAGGACGTCGGGCTTTACATGCACCTTTCCTGGCGACTTTGAAGTTCGGGTTTGGGAACGACACGATGCAGAAGGGGGACAATGAAATGAGGAAGCTGGGGTCCGGCCGGCGGCCGCCCGCCCGTGGAAATTCGGGGGGCGTCTGAGGCAGAAACAAAGAGCTGTGCTGGGAAGACCAAACCTGGAACCACTCGGCTGTTTTCGTTTTTACCGAAAAGTGGAAGGCAGCCCCCTCGCGAGCCTTTCCTCGCCGTTTCCCCCCTCGCCCGGTGCGGAGCGTGCGCGCGGGGCCGGTGGACGGGGCTGGACGGGGGTGGACGGGGCCCCCCAGGGCCGGGCCGCGCCGCGGTCCCCGCGCCCCCCGCGCCCGAATGAATGGCCCCGAGTTCAGGCCCCGCGACAAGATGGCGCGTCGGCCCGGCTGCCATTGTCGGCCGCGCGCCCGGCCTCCGCCGCGCCCGGAGGTGGTCGGCGGCCCGCGCGCTGCCCCGAGGACCCGGCGCGGAGCCCCCGCGGCTGGGCGTCCTCCTCCGGCCCGGGGCCTCGCGGCGGCGGGGTGGGGGCGGGGAGGAGCGGGCTGAGGATTCCGCCCGGCGCGGCCCGGCCGCTGGGCTTCCGAGAACCCTGCTCTCGGGGCCTCGCGGGTGGCGTTTGATTCGGAAGGCGCTCGGAGACGCCTTCTGTCCTTAAGTTACACGCTCAGCCTGCTCACGTCGCGGGAGCTTTCCCTGCCCACCTCCTCCTCAGTTAGGGTTGGGAGAGTCATCCACTGCAGGAAGACAGGTAGGAATGCTTATTTTGGGAAGGGAAGCTGGTGGACACTTAGCGTTAAAGGGTACGTTGCTGAGTCTATGCGTAAACGATGTAGACATCTTTATCTGTAGCTTTGGTTTGGGGAGTATTAGTGGGTTTTTTGTATTTTCATTTTGCTGTCTATCTGCTAACAGTGATCTCAAATAATATTTGGTGATTAAGCAGTTGCTTATGAGATTATCAACTAAGAAACACGTAGATTATTTTTCACGATTAGCAAATAAATGGAAATATTAGCTCTGCGAGGAGTTTTTTTCAACTCTAGACGCTGGGTAGGTCGTTACAGCCTCGTTGGCTGTAAGATTTCCACCTGAGTTGTTTTCTAATTTGAAGCTATAGTCTTTTTTGGGGTGGAGGGGTTCTTTATTTGAAAAAAGGGTTTTAGTTTGCATTCTGTTCAGATAGATAGGGTCTATTCTGGACTCTTCCGGAAGGTGTATATTGCAAAAAGAAAGTGAACAGTCAGTTCCTTTTTTGCTTCCTTAGTAATACTGGGTGTGTGGTAGGGGACCGCTGGTGCCACCAACATGGAAGCAGGTCTGAGAACTGCCACACGGCAGAACTGGTGGTAGCTTTTGGCTCGGTTCAACTTTCCACAGCTAGAACTGTCCAGAAATGGAGGCGACTGGAAGGGTCCGAGGCGGCTCTGTCAGGATCCTGTGAGGGGTTTCCGGCTGCCTGTGCGCTGGACTGCAAGGCCTCTGTGTTGCTGAGACTCGCTCCCACCCTTGCGTGCTTTTGCTTTCACAGGCATTGTAAGTGCTACAGGTTTTTCTTAGAAGGTGGGAGTTTAGGAAAGCAAAGTTAGGGTTTATGATCGTGCCTGTGTCTCACTCCTGGGTCTTCCTGCTCCGGAGCCTCGCGGCCGGGCTGGGGCTGCGTTGCCTTGTCTGCTGGCTGCAGGCGTGGTTCAGGAGTAAGCCTGGCCAGGCCGATGTTCAACCCTGTGGTTTTGACTCCGAATTGATACTTTCTTCGATGAACATACCCACCAGATTTGTGTGATGTCTGAGTTTTCCTCGGAGCTGTTTCTCTGCTCAGACACATACCGAGCAGGATGTCCTTTAATAGCACCTTCATGAAGATTTCTCTTTGTTTGATATCTTTAGTTATTTATGTTTTTGGAGAAGTTGAAGTAAATCCTCAGATTTAATTTTAATCTCAAAAGAGATTTAAAAGACGGCCAAAAGCCTGCAGAGTAATGTATTTTTTTTTAAAGAGTTAAACCTTTTCAAATTTTTTTGTGCCTTAGTGATTTTGATTTCAAGGCTTTAATTAACCTAGGTAGCTTATATTGACCACTAGAGAAATAGACTGATTTTATGAGGAGTTCATTTCTTTCTCAGAGCTTTGTTCTCTTACTTTTTACTTTGCTAAAAATTTCTTTGTTATTCATTGGTTTGATTGGAAAAGTTGTATTTCTACAAACAGCTTTGAGAAAGGTCTTCAGGACATAAGACTTAGCTACCCTCAGTTGGCTTTTTAGCTAGTACTTACTTTAATAACACTGATTTTATTTTAGACGTGCAGTATTGGCATTTATTATAGGTTTTTTATTGGATTTTTTTTTCCCTGCCCAAAAGATTTGGCTCATGTTTATCTCTAAATTGGATTAAATTCTTAGTCTACAGACTTTGGCTTTTAGCATTAGTGGATTGGTAATAGATAGTCTCAAGTTTATTATCTGGGCTTGACCATATGGCGTGCCATATTATTTTGAAGCCCTTATTTAGCATAAATCTAGTAAGGCATTAAACAAAAAGTTTTAGAATTTTTTAATCCTGGTATAAATTCTAATTTCAGGTTTGCATTTGTTGATAAGAGTGATTAGAGAAATGATGAAGTAGACAGTTTAATTAAGAGGTGTAGTGAACACAGAATGAGGGGCTAAAAGCAAATTTAGATTGAGACTGAGATCAGAGAAATAGTTTACAAAACGGAATGTGTAACATTATGGAAGAAAGAAACGGTCCAAATACACGTGGAGCGTGTGCGTATGTACTGGGTAATGCGACATCCCACTGACTGTTCCGGAAAAGGAATGGAGTACCACTTCTTCTTAAAGCTATGAGTTTTGTTTCAGAATTTGGTTTAAGAAATATAGCTCGTCTATAGATATTGACTTAGTGGATTAGTGCAATGCTAAGAGCTTTTTAAGCCTCTTGGCCCTGTTCTGGTGGCAGTGTCCACCATTAGTGCCACAGTGATCGATGGAAATCACTGCTGGCCTCCAATGGCAGAGCAGTGTTGCTTTCTTTTTCTTTTTTTTTTAAAGACTTAAGGGAGTATTTCCTTATTTGACTTACTAAATTAAAATTCTGGGGAAAAGCCATTTCTAAAAACTTACTGATTTAAAAGGCCAAGTTAGGATTATCAAGATTATCTAATTCTTAAGAGGTTATTCAGTTGAATTTATATTGCCGTTGACGAAAGGTTACAATTTAATAATTAGCTGCTCCGAGCTTAATAATACATTTTACTAAGGGAGGAAAGACTGTGTGTTTATTCTTTAACGTGTCAGGACAAATACTAAGGACATGGTTAACATAAAGGTTACTTGTGGGTAGTTGTGTGCTTCTGTGTATCTGTGTGCCTCCTGGTTCAATCCTGTGGCAATTTTGAAATATATTCCTGATGAAGATTGTAGATTCTCTTCATTGCCTGTCCAAGTGTTGTAGTTAATAAAATTTTAAAAAATTCTGGGTACTTTCTAATTAGACAAGAGAGTGTTAAAGCCTCTACAATAAGTTTCCAAAAAATTGTCGTAGGAACTTTAATATAATTCCTGAATTCTACGGAGGGAGAGAGATTCACTCAAAAATTCTGAAATTCGAAATTCTGAAAAGATTCAGACTGTCCGACTTAGAACCCAGTTCTGCAGCTAAACTTGCTGGTTTGGAAGTGTTTCTGGCTTCTCTCTGTCTGTGTGCTCCTCTCTAGAGCGGGCGTCCCCACACCTGCTTCCTGAGGCGGCCGTGCGGATGAAGCAGGTTCCCTAGTGGAGGCACTTGGGACAGTGCCTGGCGCTGTGCAGGGTTAGCAGTTTCTCTTGCTAGTGCCCTTGCTTTGTAAACATCTCTTTAACTGTGATAGCGTTATAAGAAGATCACTTACTGGGAGATTTTTTTCTTTCTTCCTGATGGTTCCGGAGGAGTATTAATTCAGGGTGGGGAACACGTGTCAGCTGTCTTTGCAAATCCCTGCCGCGTGTTTACTACCTCACTTTCTCCTGAGTCTTCTCTCACTTTCTTCTTTTCTCAAAAGCCTTCTTTACCTTTATGGGATAATTTTGATCCTGTAATTCACTTTGAAAACT